TTCATGCATGCATTAATAAGCCTTCTGTTGCTGTGGTGGAACCTCATATTGTGAAATGTGCTCCAGCTTTCCTTCAGAGAGAAGAATATTATAATTGAAAATTAAATCAAAAGCTGTTGCTTATCAACAAGAACAATCAGGAAGAGAAAGAGGGAAGTTTGCCCTGGAAACAGTGGGGAAGTCCAGATTAGATTCCCAGTGAAATATTGATGTCTTGTGGGCCTGGGGTTTGGCGAGACTAATATTCTAGTGGTAATGAGTGTCTTTAGACCTCAATTATCTACTGTACATGGGCTCCTCAGGTGGCTCAGTGGTAAAGAATCCACCTACCAATGCAGGAGATGCAGGAGACACAGGTTCAGTCCCTGGGCTGGGAAGATCCCCAGGAAAAGGAAATGGCAACCCACTCCACTATTCTTGCCTAGAAAATCCCATGGACAGAGCAGCCTGGCAGGCTACACTCCACGGGGTCACAAAGAATAGAACACAGCTGAGCAACTGAGCATGCACACACCCCTCCATGTGATTCTGAAATTGGCTAAGGTTTAAGAAACAGTAATCTGGGCTTCCTTGGTGGTTAAGACTCTGAGCTACCACTGTAGGGGGTGGGGTTCAATCTCTGGTCAGGGAACCAAGATCCTGCAGGCTGTAGGGGCTGTGCCACCCAGCCAAAAAAGAAACAGTAATCTAACTCAATTCCTTTATTTCACAATCAAAGAATCAGAGGTTGAGTAAATGCCTACTCAGGATCCAAACTTGTTAGCAGCCCCAGCAGTAAACCACAACTCCTCACCCAGACAGTTTGCTAAGCATGGTCTTGCAGGAAGAGGTGGAAATCCTGCAAAGGTATTTCCCTGCAGCCTGACACATGAGACCTCCTGCGGCACTGCAGAAAGCATTCCAGGACTGGCTGAGCATGTTTCTCAAAATTGGTCTCTCCTCTGGATTCCCAGGTGGTGCAACAGTAAAGAATGTGCCTGCCGATACAGGAGTTCAGTGCCCGAGCTGGGAAGATCCCCTGGAGTGGAAAAGGGCAACATACTCCAGTATTCTCACCTGGAAAATTTCATGGACAGAGAAGCCCGGTGGGCTACAGTCCATGGGGTCACAAAGGGTCAGACACGACTAAGCACGCATGCACAGTCTTGGATCCTAGGTTTCCTAGGCTTTCATCCAGAGTACCTCATTTTTACTGATGTTACTTTGTAAAAGATAGGGTAATAACATGATTAGTTTACAGCTGAGCTTCTTTATTTTTTTTAACTGTTATCATGAGATCCGTTTTTAATATGCAATCACTTGGAGTTAGAAGAGGGCTTGTTTTTAGAGTCACGGTTATTATTACTGTTATTCATGTTGATAGATAAATGTTGATTTCAGATTTTAAACCTATGAGGTTGACTGAAATAGAAAGCAGTTTATCTGTGTTAGAAAATAAACATGTGCCAACCCTTTGTATGTGGTAAACCCTCCTCGATTGCTTATTTTTAAAAAAATTAGTGAAAAAAGCCACAAAAGATTACTGTGGAAAAAAAACTGTTTTTTTTTTATCTCTGATAAATGAGTGTAGAATGTTAAATGGAAAATAAATCATACTTATTTGTCCACTTTTTTTCTTTTTAAAGTAAGCACAGCCATAATATTGTTAAGCCACGTCCTGACGTCTCTGCCCGCCACCCTCTGGGCTAATTTTGTGGGAATTAAGGCCCTTAATTCCAAAGGAGAGTTGAGGCCAACTTGCTTTTCATGGGAAAATAAATGAGCAGGATGAGAGCTGGCGAAATCATCATCTATAGGGAGATGGCTGCATGTGGGTCCAAGTTGCTTAACAGGCCAAGGAGGGGAGAAATCTCAACCAAACAGGTCTGCCTGAAGGACTGTCCCAGCTGCTAGTGCCAAGAAACTCTGGAGAGAGCATTTTCCCTTCCACTTTTAATGATATTTGTGTGATTTCTGGAAATCACACTGCAGATCTGAGTACATATTTATGTCCAGATTTCTAAGGAAGTTAAATGATATAAATCGTGACTGATTTACAACTGTATTGCTATTTAAGTTGCCATCCTTTGAAATATCTCTCTATGAAGAGGCAACAGTCAACATTTTGGTGACTGGGTTTTCATAGACTTTCTTATGCATACACAGGAGAATACACACATAGAGACAGTTTTACATAAATAGATTCATATGCATGCTGTCTTATCATGGACATCTATTTTTTAAAGCATTTTTGCCTACTTCATTTTTCTTTCTAATCACCTTCATCCCTAAAGTAGCCAGCCTTGAAAGTTTAATGTGTATCCTTCCAAATCTTTTCTCATTGTATAATCACACACACACACACACACACACACACACACATAATTATTATTATGGGCAGAACATAGAACAGAACCAAGTATTTAAAACAGTGTCTGCAGCATTATAGATACTCAATATTTATTACATTAATGAATGGTTTGTGTCATAAAAGTGGGATAATTACATGCATGTATATATAATTATTATAATAATTATTCTCTCTATATAATTACCCCATCTTTCTGTATCTGGCATTTATCCCTCAAAGCCTCTAGGTAATCTCTCCATATAGATTTAATTAATTCTTATGAATGGTTGTATAATATCTCACAGTTATGAAAACAACACCAACATTTAACTATATCCCTAATTGATAGTCAAGATGAATTTATTTTTGTTACTATAAAAAATAAGAGCTAACACCCTATTGTGTTCCACAGACAAAGCATTTTTTTGCAAGCACTTTTTATGTATAAAGTCACTAAATTAAGATTATTCTCTCCATTACAGGACACTGAACAAGAGCAGATTAAGAAACTTTCCTAAGGCTACAGAGCCAGAAGGTGGCAAACTAGTCAGTGGGCTCCAAGGTACCTTTCACGGAACTAGTTCTATACAGAGCAGTTGTCAGCACGATTGCACTTGTATCCTGATAGAATGGTGCCTTATTTCTAGGTGACAGTTTCCTGGGAGTGGAAGAATGTGTATATTTCATATTGATAGACTGCTTTGCAAAAAGAGTGTAAGAGTTTATATTTCCATCAAAACAATATATGAGAGTGCTCTTCTCTTCAAGAGACTATCATTTAAAAATATTACACATGTATTTTTAGCCAATGTGAACGGTGAAAAGTGTTATTTAATTGTTATGTCTCTGTGCTTTTCAGACAGTAGTAAGGTTGAGTGTCATATGTTTATCAGCCGTTCGGATCTGCTCTACTGTAAACTGCCGTATGAGGGTTCTCCAGAGACACAGAATATATAATTACTTAGGTGATTATGGAGGCCTGGAAGGTCCAAACTGTGGGCTTTGGGGCAGGGTGGGCCAGCAGGCTGGAACAGTTGATACTGCGGCCCAAGTCCAAAGGCTCTGAGGCTGAAGACCCAGCCCTCCTGCCAACACACTTGCCACAACTAATCCTTAGTTGCCATCCTTTGAAATATCTCTCTATGAAGAGGCAACAGTCAACATTTTGGTGACTGGGTTTTCATAGACTTTCTTATGCATACACAGGAGAATACACACATAGAGACAGTTTTACATAAATAGATTCATATGCATGCTGTCTTATCATGGACATCTATTTTTTAAAGCATTTTTGCCTACTTCATTTTTCTTTCTAATCACCTTCATCCCTAAAGTAGCCAGCCTTGAAAGTTTAATGTGTATCCTTCCAAATCTTTTCTCATTGTATAATCACACACACACACACACACACACACACACACATAATTATTATTATGGGCAGAACATAGAACAGAACCAAGTATTTAAAACAGTGTCTGCAGCATTATAGATACTCAATATTTATTACATTAATGAATGGTTTGTGTCATAAAAGTGGGATAATTACATGCATGTATATATAATTATTATAATAATTATTCTCTCTATATAATTACCCCATCTTTCTGTATCTGGCATTTATCCCTCAAAGCCTCTAGGTAATCTCTCCATATAGATTTAATTAATTCTTATGAATGGTTGTATAATATCTCACAGTTATGAAAACAACACCAACATTTAACTATATCCCTAATTGATAGTCAAGATGAATTTATTTTTGTTACTATAAAAAATAAGAGCTAACACCCTATTGTGTTCCACAGACAAAGCATTTTTTTGCAAGCACTTTTTATGTATAAAGTCACTAAATTAAGATTATTCTCTCCATTACAGGACACTGAACAAGAGCAGATTAAGAAACTTTCCTAAGGCTATAGAGCCAGAAGGTGGCAAACTAGTCAGTGGGCTCCAAGGTACCTTTCACGGAACTAGTTCTATACAGAGCAGTTGTCAGCACGATTGCACTTGTATCCTGATAGAATGGTGCCTTATTTCTAGGTGACAGTTTCCTGGGAGTGGAAGAATGTGTATATTTCATATTGATAGACTGCTTTGCAAAAAGAGTGTAAGAGTTTATATTTCCATCAAAACAATATATGAGAGTGCTCTTCTCTTCAAGAGACTATCATTTAAAAATATTACACATGTATTTTTAGCCAATGTGAACGGTGAAAAGTGTTATTTAATTGTTATGTCTCTGTGCTTTTCAGACAGTAGTAAGGTTGAGTGTCATATGTTTATCAGCCGTTCGGATCTGCTCTACTGTAAACTGCCGTATGAGGGTTCTCCAGAGACACAGAATATATAATTACTTAGGTGATTATGGAGGCCTGGAAGGTCCAAACTGTGGGCTTTGGGGCAGGGTGGGCCAGCAGGCTGGAACAGTTGATACTGCGGCCCAAGTCCAAAGGCTCTGAGGCTGAAGACCCAGCCCTCCTGCCAACACACTTGCCACAACTAATCCTCTGGGTATGGTAGCCTTTCTGGAGCTATTAAAAGTCAGACTGCCTGGACCTGAAGTCTAGCTCTTCACTTATTAGTGATCTGAGTTCCTTAAAGTAAGGCTCTCAAAACCCTGCTTCATAGGGCTTCTGGGAAAGCTTCTCACTTTGTAACTTTCACCTGTTATTTGTTCTATTTTAGGGATTGTCGTTTTTTTTTTTCTTTTCTTATTGCTTTGCCAGGCGAAGGGGGCCACAGCGGGCTAACGCCCTCAATCCCGTGTGAGCCGCCCTGGAGTACTGTTTGAGGAGCAGGGCTGACCAGCTCCTGGACGATGCTGCGATTGGCTGGCATCAAGGCAGAGTTTCAAGCATCAGCAGCCTCCTTGTTTCAACCAGTGTGGGGTCTATGTTCTTACCGTCAGCAGTTTTTATTTAGAGGGGGTCTGCTTCCTGTAAAAACAATTTAGGAATGTGGATTAGGCCTTTATATCTTTCAGGGACCTGTGAGTGTGGTGAGTCCTTATGTGGCAGGATTATAGTCTAAGATGTAACCAGTTTCTAGCCCAACAGTTTTTCTGTTCCCACATCTTTACATTTCCCAATCATTAACTCGTGAGCCAGCGTTTTACTTTGGAAGACAAGGACACAGGGACTTGTTTAAAGATCAGTGCCTGTCATTTATAAGACACACAGGATTAAAGCAGAAATCTTTACACAATCATGTGTCTTTTGATCTTCTGTCCCCAAGTAATTGGTTTTATATGTGTACCTTATAAACGAGTATCTTTTATAGAAGATACAGGAGGCCGGGCTTCCGATAAACGTTCCCCATTTCATTAATGTGAGAAATCCAACCTGTCAAACGCTTTCTCTATTTGTGCTGCAGAAAAACTTAAAAACGGATAGCAATAAGGCAATTTAACCAAAGAACTACTATCTTTGTCGCGTGTAAGAACTTTAAGGTTCCTAGCAGCATAGATTTATAGTAAGGACATCGTGACATCAGCCGCGTATACTGTGTTGGGGTAGATAGGAGTTTGTCATTTTCCTAGCCGCTCAGCAGTAGAGAATCCGCCTACTAATGCAGGAGTCCTCTCCCCCGCCCCCACAACGCCCCTCAGCCCCTGCCACTGGATCCGTGGTTCCAGAAGATCCCCTGGAGAAGGAAACGGGTAACCCATTCCAGTATCCTTGCCTGCAAAATCCCATGCACAGAGAAGCCGGCCGGGCTACAGTCCATGGGGTCACAAAGAGTTGAATTTAGCAGACTGAACAAAAGGCTAGGTGAAAAACTTCAGAAATGTCGCTTAATTACTGTATCTCGGCTTAGAAATGCCAGGACCCTAGACAGTAACCATCAAAAACAATGGCTTTGAAAACTTATTAATACCGTCCAAAAAAAAAAAAAAATCCATCTTAAAGAGCTTTGCTCTAACTTCGTCTTTGTTTTAAGGATTAGAAATAATGTTAAAATACCCTCCGACAAAATAGTCTCACAATAAATGGTATCTGTTACTGTTATTCCTTGCTGTCAAGGCTCATCGGTTCTCATATCTGTACCACCTCCCAACGCCTAGCACATATTGGACAATCATATAAATATTTACAGAATGAGTGAAGAACTGATAGCAATGAGATTCAAGTGGCACGCTAGCTAAAGCTTGGAGTCTTACTTTCCGCATTAGACCCTGAGTCCGTGAGAAAACGAAGGATAAAAACCTTCTCCGACTTGCTGCCTGGGCTAAATTATGAATTGCCAACGCGCAACGGAACTCCGTAGATACACCCGCCAGGCCAAAGCAGTCTCCAGCTCTCCCTCGGCTACGCGGGAGCAGAGCAGAAGTTTATGCAAATACGCGGGCTCTAGCGTACGCACGCGCAGAGCGCGCAGAGCGCCTCTGAGTTCGGTGGAACTCAATTTGAGTACGCGGATTACAGCCGGGAGGATTTACGGAGGTTTCGCTTCCGGTAGCACCGGAAGCAGCTCGAAGATGGCGTCCTCCAAGCAGAATGGGCCGGCTACAGCTTCGGGGAAAACGGAATTTCGTGGCGCGAAGCCGACGTCGGAGAACCGAGGTGAGGTTGTCTAAAAACCAAAGCCTGGAGTTTGTGGATTTTGAGTTGGGTTTTTTTTGCTTTCGCTGGCTAGGAACGTGTAACGCCGCCTTGGGCCTGTTCTGTGAATTTGTGCACCTGTAATTGCTGATTTTGGGGGCTGTTGGCCAGACTTGCAGGACCGGCCGGCCTGTACGGTGCCGGCCACGTGTTCTTAATTTATTGCTTCTGCTGAAAGTCTCTAAAGTAGAAGTGTTGCTGAATGCGTGTTCTCTAAAAATATGGGGATTAAGAGATTGAGGAGGGCGCTTCAGGGCCTTAAACTCGCGAAGGTGTTTGGAAGTCGTTGGCAGAATGAGGGATGAGGTGGGAGAAGGTGGTGGTTATGCATATGAGTGAACGAGTGGTAGAGTGATAATGAAGGACTAAGACAGCAGTGGTGATAGAAGAGGTAACCGGCGTGCCCTTAGCGTCAATTTATCAGCCGTTGAAAAAATTTTGGAACGTTTGTTATTATTTCTATTTGTCCGGTTGCTGAAGTATCAGCCAACCCAGCGCCTGCTCTTTCAACTGCGTTTTTTAAGAATTACTCTCTTGCTTTGCGCTCGCGCTCTTGTTTTATCCATTATCTTAAATGTGGTTGACAGAGAAATAGTCTGGGGCCTGCTCAGCCAGACTTACTGGAAGTATTAAAAATCTCAAACTTTGATTCTATAGGCATTAGAGAGAGAGTAAAAATGTTTTGTTGTTTTAATTAAGGGTATGGCAGTGGCCGGTGTATATACAGCTTAAGGAATAAAAACCAACAGGTGAAAAGCAGCTCGTCACAGCGTTAAAAAGAATAGAACATTACCAACCAAATCTCCAAAACCCCCTACGTGCACCTATCAGGTCATTCTAATGTTCCCTTGTATGAATACATGCTGATGTATATTTTCATTTTAATGTTGCTGGACATTTGGATTGTTCCCATTGTTTGTTATTATAAACATCGTGGTATAAACATCTTTATACATTTCTCCTGGTTAACATATTCTGGAGTGTCTCTGTTTATGTACATTACATGGGATTAGAATCTTTGTAGTGTAGGGTAGGGCGTGTGCAAATAATCATCTTTGCCAAAGAAGCTGTGGCACTTTATACTTCCAGAAGTAGTAGGAGCACTAACACTTGGCTGTTATCTGAATTTTAAATTTGTCATTTAGTTAAGTATGAAATCATATTGTGGTTTTAATTCAAACTATCCTGATTGCTAATGAGGTTATCCGTCTTTACACATGTTTGGGGGTTATTTGTTGTTTTTGTATTGTGAAACTAAACTTTTATTTCCTTAGCCAGGTTTTTTTCTTTTTCTTTTTTACATTCACATCCAATGAGTTGTTTAAATTGGTAGGATCTTGGACAGATAGCTTTTTGTGGTGGTTTGGTCGCTAAGTCGTGTCTAATTCTTCTGACCCCACGGACTGTAGCCTGCCAGGCTCCTCTGTCCATGGGATTCTCCAGGCAAGAAAATGGAGTGGGTTGCCATTTCTTTCTCCAGGGCATCTTCTGACGCCAGGGATGAAGATTGTAGGCATATTCTTTACCAACTGAGCGAGGAGGGCAGTCCAGATACCATTTTAAGTAGTCACTATTGCAGAATTTGAGGATTTTTTTTTTTCAGGATATTGAGGAGTAAATGATAAATGAAGACTAATTCTCTGTGACTTGAACCCTAAATAACAGAGTGGATGTGAGTAAAAGAAACAGAAAGCAATTATATGTGACTGGGATGGCTAAAATGGACTATAAAGACCTGCTTCTTAAACTTTAGTATGCATAAGAAGCTCCTCATGACACCATTAAGACAGATTTCTGGGCTTCAGCTCAGAGGTTCACATTTAATAGGTCTGGATGGAATGCAAGAGTTTCATTTCTGACAAACTCTGTATTTATGCCTGTGCTGCAGGCCCATGGATCATACCTTTGTGTAATAGTGAGTTAAAATAGAGCTGTTGGATTTAAGAGGTGGTTAAATCCAGGACCAGGCATTTTAATAAATGATATAGGAGACAATTTATGGCCCTTAGGAGGCATTTTGTTTTAATGAGAGGAGACCTAGACTGAGTCAGCTTCACATTCCCTTACACGAGTCACTCAAACGTTTTGAATGGAATATCTTTTCTAAAGTGGAAATAATAATACCAGTTCTTCCTTTCATAGTTTTGATGAGAGTATACAAAAGGAGGTCACGTGAAAGCTCTTTGGAAAACCTAAAACCCTATTGTAGTGAATATTAACTGAAGGTATACACTGGAATCAGTTTTTGATAATTTTATGTGTACACACATACAAATATATATACACATAAGCTCCACTTCAGTTGAGTCTGAAATGTTACTTTATTTTAAATAGTAATGTAAACAAAATAGTATTTGGATCCTCAACTCTAAAATAGTGTAGTGCAATAGAAGTTTGTGAGTATCCAGTATATGCCAGGTGTATGCCAGTACCTGTGGACCCAAGGAGCAGAGTCCCTGCCCTCATGGAACTTTGTCTGTGATGCAACTGGCACACATACAGATAATTTTGGTACAGTATGCTGATAATGACAGAGGCATGTTCTTGGACTGTTGAGTAGTATAAAAAGCAGGGGAGAAGGAGGTGCATGAAAGTATTGGGAAACTTGTGCATGTATGCGTGCAAGTGTTCAAAAAATCTTCAAAAGAAGTTAAATCTGATGTGTAGATTTTTCCTCCTCTGTAGATGAATCTGAACTCCTCACTGTGCCAGATTTGTTGAACGTCTCGTTGTAAATGAAAGATGATGGATGTGACCGACTTTCCTGTTTGTTGCTCCTGCAGTGCTCTTAGAGCAGTGTGTTTGATTTTATTTTCCAAACTGGATTGAAACCCCTTAGTGAATGAGGAAGTCAGTTTCATGGCCATAGTGAGCCTTAGGAAAAATCTGTCACATGTGGTAAGGATCAGTGTCACTTTATGAAGCTTTTGGTTTGTCTGTGTGTGTTTGTGTACACACAGATTGTGATAGAAAATCTGTTTCTCAGCTGTGGGACTGCTCCAGAGTCATTTGTGCCCACTAGGCTTGAGGGTGGTTAGCAAACCAGGCCATGTTACAGCTGTCTACATCTAGGATTAGACCCAGTTTGTTTCTGTGTGTGTGTGTGTGTGTGTTTAAACTGATAGACACCTAACCTGATGTTTAACTGTTCATCATTCACTGTATTGAAATATTCTTGAGGTCATGCTCACAAGTTAGAAAATAGCGTCTTTATTTGCTTTGCTGAAGTCTGGTTCTTTTGAAAGTTAGTGCATAGATTCTCCCATTATTGCTTTTATTTTTAAACCTCTGACAGTTTGTTTTTACTTTGTATTTAGCTAATGTTGTTGTTTAGTCACTTGGTTGTGTCCATGGACTGCAGCCCACCAGGCTCTTCTGTCCATGAGATTTCCCAGGCAAGAATACTGGAGTGAGTTGCCATTTCTTTCTCCTGGGGGATCTTCCCAACCCAGAGATCAAACCTGAGTCTCTTGCATCTCCTGTATTGGCAGGCAATTCTTCACCGCCGAGCCACCAGGGGAAAGTTTGAAAGGGAAAGCCTATTTTCACTCTAGGGAGAAGATTTTAGATTAGAGCTACATCTAGCCAGGGTAGGGAAATTATAAGCTTTACATTTTTATCTTAAGTCTTAAATATGACCTCATTTTGATTGATGTGTTTTTTTTTAGACTGGAGGTAATATTTATTCCGATAAGTGTAAATTATCCTAAAGTCAACTATAAATGTTTTCAGTTACCTGAGTTTCTTATTTTCCTTGAAATCTAAATGTAATTAACTATTCCTTATTTACATTAACTTTCCAGCTTCTTCAAGGAGAGAGTTAAAGGATTTTGAGATATCTTAATGGCACAGAAATTAATAGTTAGGCTAGGATAGGCTCTGTACTCATCTAAAATTGAATGCATTTTCAGATAACTGTTTGCTCACTCTTTTTGTAGCATGTTAACGCAACCCTGGACCTGATTGAGGGCAGCATGACTGTCTGTACTACAAAGAAGACATTTGATCCATATATCATCATTAGGGCCAGAGACCTAATCAAACTGTTAGCAAGGAGTGTTTCATTTGAACAGGTAAATTTAGAATTAAATTTAGAGTTTATTTGCTTTATTTGCATCAACTTTAGAGACAATATGTATCACTGCCACCACCACCTCCCCCTAAAACGTTTTCATTTTTGTGCTTAAATTTCTTGACTTGGAAAACATTTGTACTTGTAAAGAATGTTGATGGGCTATTTTCTTTATTTTCCCAAAAGGCAATACGAATTCTTCAGGACGATGTTGCATGTGACATCATTAAAATAGGTTCTTTAGTAAGAAATAAAGAAAGATTTGTAAAAAGAAGACAACGGCTTATTGGTCCCAAAGGATCTACTTTGAAGGTACTTTTTATTAGTGAAAAAGTATATCTTCCTCTACTGTTAGTTTTTTAGTGTACTGAAGTTCAACTTATTGCTCTTTTGATATAGGCATTGGAACTCTTGACAAACTGTTACATTATGGTTCAGGGAAACACGGTTTCAGCCATTGGACCTTTTAGTGGCTTAAAAGAGGTGAGATTTATGCTCTTAACTTAGTTTTAGCAGAGAATAAATGAAAGAATATGGGTATACTATAATAGTTCATTGGATAATGTATTGTTTCATAATTTTAAAAAATTGTGCTTTGTTTGATTTTCATTAGTAAATTCTTCATGTAATTTGAGGGAATAGCCACTCCTGAACCTTAATATATCATGGCCAGCTTTTGGTAATTACAGAGAGATTCATTTCGGAATTAGAAGGTCTGTTCATCATTACTTCCCCTACTACAGGTTTTCAGTGGGTATTTTAAGATCTCAGTCTGTAGCAAACGTTGGAAAACATGCGTTTAAGTGATTGGAGAATTGCGCAGATCTTGTTCTTTGCGGTAACAGATGCAGCCTGTAGAGGTCGGGCTCAGAAAACGTCCCTTAAGATGTATTTTCTTTGAGTTTTAATATGTTAATTTAATGCTTCATGAATATTAGTTTGTCACATATTATGAGAAAATCTATAGAGCACATACTGTTTCTGTAAACTCCTTTTGAGACTTTTGTTGTGTGTATCTGGCTGTGAGTTCTTACTTCCTTTCAGGGCCTTTAATAATACTTCCTTTGGACCTCTTTCTCTTAAGTTATCTGCTTTTTTCACATAGCGCAATAACAACTTAGGTGTTTTGAGTATTTCGTAGTTTTGTAGAGTCTAAGTATATTATTTAATTCTTACAACAGATCCTTAAGGTGGTTTTATTTCAAATGTATTACAGAATTCAAAAGCTGAAGTCAGGAGGAAAATTAAGTGACTTTCCCCTATGAAGTCCCAGCATTTGAGCACGTATTTTCTAACTCTAAATCCAGCTTTCTTTCCCCTAAATTGCACAGCTCCAGACTGTTGTGATAATTCTGCGTATCACTTTTTAGCAGTAAAATTGAGAGACTTCATTGTATCCAAGTGAGGTTAACTGTTATGAAAGATCCAGAAGCCACTCAGAACAGTTGAACGGACTGCTATATCCAGTTTGGTGGCCATTGCCTGGTTCATAGGTTATTTTACAATATATTCATCCTCTTCTACCTAGTTCACTAAAATCTTCATTATAAATAACTGATTCATTTTTCTTTGCAAATTTCAGGTGCGAAAAGTAGTCTTAGACACTATGAAGAATATTCATCCAATTTACAATATTAAAGTGAGTGTTCACTGTGCATTACTATATTAGTGGTTATCAAATTGTTTTTAGCTACAGAAACCTTTCTTGAAAATAAATCTTTTATGAAAGTCTAATATACAAAACAGATAAAGCAGAACTATTTGGGTAGAGTTCAGCCCACTCAACACTATCCCAGTCCTGTAGTTCCTTCTTTGAAAGCTTGGGTCTCTGAGGAGTAGAGTGTGAAAGAAAGCTGTTGAAGGGGGCTCTGTAATGTAGTGATGCAGTTCTGATATAAATAAAATATGCTTCATGGAATTTGTTGTAGAGGGTACCAGTTCAGTTTTCTTAGGCTAATGAGCCCACAGACTGTATTTAAAAGTGTGATCTTTTAGAATTCTGCCATTTCCTGTAAGTCTGGAATAATTCAGATTGCATTAAAACTTGTTTTGGAATTTAGCACTCAAGTTACAGGTTCATTGAGATGTTATATCCCTGCATGTATAACATTCAGTGATTGTTCTTGGAAATGTAACCACGGTATATAATGTTTTATGATGGGTATTTGTTAAATAGTCCTTGAATTTGATGAATTTGAAAAGTCATTCTTAGATTGGGGTGAAAAATGATTTGAGTTTCATTGGGACATTAAAGAGAGCATGTCTTGCATCTGATGCCTACTTTGCATCCTCTGATGTTTTAGTGTCGATAAAATTCAGGTGGAATTGGGGGAAATGTGAAAACACTGGTTTCATTGATCATGAGAAACTTTAGTTTTTTCTTTCCCTATGAACATCATATTTCATGTGCTACTGAAAGCTTCCTGCTTGTAGGAAACTTCACTAATGAAGCACTCTCCCTGTATAATTAAGTTGAATTTCAAAGGTTTTAATGAAAAACTTAGTCTTATTTTTCATCTCTATTTTAATGATTCTGTTTCTTAATCTAAATTTCTAATGGTTTTCTGATGCTTGGTTCATTATGCATATTTGAGATTATATGCTTTTTCTTTACAGAATTGATTTAATCCTACTGAAGAGACTAAGGGTTATTCCTGTTAATTTTATTATTTATAGGGACATTATTTATAATGTCTTAGGTTGAGAAACATGTCACTTCTAAAATTAAAAGTGTTTACTTTGTTCATATATTACTGTGACCCAAGACCTTAATGATTAAACGAGAGCTGGCGAAGGACTCTGAGTTAAGATCACAAAGTTGGGAAAGGTTTTTGCCAAAGTTCAAGCACAAAAATGTGAATAAACGCAAGGAACCAAAGAAGAAAACTGTTAAGAAAGAGTATACACCATTCCCACCACCACAGCCAGAAAGTCAGGTCAGTATTAAATGTTGAATTTTGTTACATGAGGGGGAAACCATTTTAATCTGTTTTGTCGGAAACTTTGAGGTATTTTAGGTGGAATTTCTGTGGGTGTTTGGGTGTGTAGAGATGTAAGGATCTGAAGGTAAGTGTAAGTACAGTTGTTTTGAACTGACTGTGTGGAGATGGGGAGTGGCCGCTTCGCGTTGTGAGCGTAGAATGGCGCCGAGGTGGCTGGCGGTGGTGTGTAGCTCTGCCCGTAGCCGCTGTGCGTGCTCCACGGTTAGAAACGTCGGCGACCTAGCCCGCCGTGCCCTCAGTGCTGCTGTGGCCTCGTTCCTGTGACCCGTGCTGTATGTTTTGCTCTGGATTTCAAATCTTAACTTCTGATATCTGTCCTTTTTTTAAAAAAAAAAATTTTTTTTTTTTATCTGTCCTTTATTTAAAGATATGAATGCCTCTCATTTTGTGTACTGTCGTCTGGCATAATTTCCTTTTCTCTCTTGCCTGTTGCTGTTTTCTTTCATACTCCCCTTTTCTGTCACACCCTCTGACAGAACCACTCTAAAACTTGCATCAGTCCTAAAACTTGACTTCTTTTCCCCTAGTGTGGCTACTGAACATAGCTGAAGAGAGTCGTATTTTTGGATTATATCCCTTAAAAACGCACATTTCCAGCCTCAGATGGTCTTCAGCAGTATTATCTGGGTGCTTTGTGTCCTCTTAATTCTTTTGCCACCCTTCCACTCCCAGTAGATGATGTTGCTTTTTTTCCCTCAAGTATTTGAGATTACCAGGCACACTCTTTAACTTGCTCCTAGCTCACGGTTTTTTCCCCATCTGCCTCAGTCCATTCTTTGCTTATTCTCTGAGTTCTTTTGTTCACCTGTCTGTTGGAGGATCTTTCTTCATTATTCCCTCCCTTGGCTATATGTTGAAGTTTTTCCTTTAACCCGTCTTTTTCTTTATACTGTCTTGCCCTCCTCACAGCCCTTTGTTTGCAGTTTTTCAGGGAAGATTTGATGAAAGGTCAAAGGTAAAAAAGGAATGATGATCATCATTGTAAAAAAAAGTGTAAGTGTTGGATCTCGAGCTCTACATTGGAAAATAAAGTGAAGCCAGAAAGAAAGTGTTAGTTGGGGAGCAGTACTGCGTGACTCAGGAGCTAACGCGCGCTTCTGCAGCCCTGGCGTGCTCCAGGCAGCCTGTCCCATGCTCACTGCTCGTCTCATCTTCCTCTCCTGTGACTGTGAGCTGCTTGAGTCAGCAGTGTCTTGTTTGACTTACTCTGCCACTTATTTGCTACGTTCAGTCGCTCAGTTGAGTCCAACTCTTTGCGACCCCATGGACTGCAGCACGCCAGACTTCCCTGTCCATCACCAACTCTCAAAGCTTGCTCAAACTCATGTCCTTCGAGTAGGTGATACCATCCAACCATCTTATCCTCTCTCGTCCCCTTCTCCTCCTGCCNTCTTTGTACATAAAATGGGGATGATGATCGTACCTATCTCAAAGAATTGTCTCTGAGAATTTGAGAATTAAGCGAGTTAGTAATTGTAGAAAGGTTAGAAATAGTTTAGAGCATTGCCTCAGATAGATCAATTGTATGTTGACTATTTAATGAATGAGTGGTTACTTGCTCTAGCTAGTATTTAGTCGCTACATCCTGACAATTCTTGCTTTTCATTTTGTATGGTGAACAAAATGAAACTTTAAAAAAAACAGCAGGCTTTTTATCTCCTTTTTTCTGTTCCTTTTATAGTGTTACTTTGTTCTCTTCACTCTTCTCAGGAACCTTCAGTCATTTATAAATCACATCCCACCTCCCTTACCTGTCATTCATGTTTCTTCATGTCCCAACCCCTTTCCAGGTGTCTTTCCTCACTTTTCTGAGACCTTGACCTTCCACCTCCCGTAAAGGAGCCTGTTGAGTACTTCATGGACACACCACCTACTTTCCTACCTACATGCTTTGTGTATGTGTATTCTTGTCAGCTTAAGAGTACATTTCCTTCTTTTTAGGCTGCTACCTTACATAAGAGTTTCAACCCTACTGTCTTTACCTCAGGGTCATTGTGAATTTCTTAGGAATTAACTTCCCATCTACATGATTTCTGAAGTAATTGTAAATACATATTTCAACAGATTGATAAAGAATTGGCTAGTGGTGAATACTTTTTGAAAGCAAGTCAAAAGAAGAGACAGAAAATGGAAGCAATAAAGGTAAGACTGTCTAGCTGGCAACATTAATTGCAAAGTGCATAGATACTTTGGATTCTTACTTAACTGAAAAGTTTTTATTAATCATGTAGGCTAAACAAGCAGAAGCTCTCAGTAAGAGACAAGAGGAGAGAAACAAAGCTTTTATTCCGCCTAAAGAAAAACCAGTTCACCCGAAGAAACCTAAGGAAGGTAATGCTTTTCCCTGAGTCTTGTTATGATGCTGAAGTCTGCTAGAGGAAAAGGAAACCCAGAGTGAATTTGTTAAATCTCTGAATTCATGTTAAGAAATAGCCACGTCTTTTACCAGTTCTCTCAGCGTTTCATTACTCACAGATCCTCGGGACAAGAGGTGACTGAGATAACACATAGTTTAGCACCAGCTGATGCCTGTTTGAGTGTCCCATGCTGGCAGCCTCTTCCTGATCGCTGCCGTGCTGAGGAAGGACCGTTTGTTTTGAAAGACAGAAGCCAGAGCAGGAAGTCCTCTATAGAAACAGCGGGAAGGTCCCCGAGCTCTGCTGTATGCCCCTTACAGAGCTTATCAAAGTTATGCTTTCTTTACTTGTGCAATCTGTGACTTAAAACCTGAGGCTTGTATTGTTAACATGGATTTCTCATCACCTTGGGCTAAAACACCACCAACAGAATAGCAGGAATAGCTTTCTTGCTCAGAGGCTATTAAAGAGAAAACATTCTTATTCCTGGCCTTGTTTTGACCTGCCTTCTCTTTTACATATTCTTTTCCACTAGTAACCCTTGTGCTCTTCTGTAGAGTAACTCTCCAGAGTGGTCAGTGGCATAATGAGGGAGGGAGGTCACCAGCTGTGTTTTACATCACCTGTTGGTCTAAGCCAGATGTAACCTTACTATTTTGTTAATATATATCAATGTTAACAACTTAAAAAATACTGTGTTCTACTTCTTAGATCATTGGTGATATAAAAGTTAAAAACATCATAAGCATCATAATTTTAAGTCTGTCGAGCTGGTCAGTTATGTACTCTCAAGGTGTTCAAATGGTAGTTTAATCTCAGTTTAATACTGAATAAAGTGAAGCTGTTCCATTGTTGTGAAGACTAAGTCTGCTCTCAAGTTGCTGGGGTGTTTGTATGATGACATTTTATCTTGTGGTTCTTTTATGTCCTGAATACTGTTCTCTAAATGATAAGAAAAGTTGCGATTTTTTGCTGCTGCTTTTCTCTATTTTGTTCAAACTTTTGGTGTTAACTACATGGTTGGGTTCTGTTAGGACCTCCAGATACTCTCAGATTACTGTCTTTATTACCAAAATCTTGTTAAATGAAATAATACTAGTCATTAATTGAACTAATATTTGGAAAACTAAGTTTTTTAAAGAGTACTGTAAAGTTCCAGAATATGAAAACAAATATAAATAATATTATCAAACTATTTAAGGACAAAAATGTAATTTCAACATAGTTGAATCCAGTAATTGGTTCAGATAGTTAAAGTATAATGTCATTTTCATGTATATTCTTACTAGTGTGTTTAAGGACTTTGTTTTCTCCTAGTTTGAAGAAATTTCTAACTTTACTTTTAGCAGGTATTTTATATTTTATAACATGACCTTTCAATTAGAATAGTACTCTAAAATTATTCATATTTATGTAATCTTTGTTTTATTTGGTAAAATCTAAAGAATTACATGTATTGTTTTTTAATTTATTTAGCTTCTACTGAAACTAAAATTGATGTGGCTGCCCTCAAGGAAAAGGTTAAGAAAGCAAAGAATAAAAAACTGGGAGCTCTTACAGCTGAAGAAGTTAAGCTTAAAATGGAAGCAGATGAAAAGAAAAAGAAGAAAAAGTAACACAAACAAACCCTGAACTAAAATTTATTAAGCTCTCTCCTTTTGTAAAGGATTTTTGAAATACTGTAGTTGGCAACATTAGTTGCCTTATCCATGAGAAGTAATACCCTGATCACTTTTTTTCTGAGTTTGTGCTTTATTACAGTGTTAATATAAACAACTGTTCTTTATAAATTATTGTCCATATGTTTTTTGAAAAATTTTATACTAGAGAGTGATATATATGTGTTTATATACATTGTATCTAATCTATTCCAGGCACGTTTTGCCTAAGCATGATTTTAGAAGTAATTTTTAAGGAGGTTTAGTCTTTAAATATTATCATGTCCCAGCATTTGGTTTTGAGAAAGTGCTCTAATGTAATCTCATTTACATTTTGTTCCAAAATTAATTAATAATCCAAAAAAGCAAGGCCTTTTAAATTAATTCCCTTAATTCTGTTCCAATCTGAGTCTGAGGAAGTAGTAAATCATAAGATATCAAACTGCAAGAGAACCTGGAAAACCAGATATTTAAAGCTGGAACAGCACGCATGAGGGGTTATATAGGAGTGTTTTTACTGATGAGGGCCGGTGAGGTTTCTCAGACCACCTACATCTAGCTCTTTCACTCTGCATATTTAGAAGCTGAGGCGGACAGGGGATAGAGCTTACTCATTGCAAGTCACAGCTGTGGCAGCTAGGAAACAGTGCTGCTGCTTAAAAAGTGGAAAGTAAAGATGAGTCTATCCTGTAGTGCTAGGAAGATGAACCATTTTTTGAGTAAGGGTTTGTTGCAAATCAGAAATACACCCGGTTGTTACTAAAATAAAAACAAAACACCGTGTATGAATGAAGATTTTTTTCCTCCCTGGATTGTATTATTTCAAAGTAAATAAATGAGGGTATTTGCCCTTGGCCCACATGATAATTATAACACTCAGTATTAGGATTGGTGGGATAATTATGAGAAAAAGAGATGTGTTTCTGTCACGTGGATATATCGGCCAGTCTGGAAACACAGTGGAGTAGTAACCTGTGAAACAGAAATGAAATATACTCATTAATGTTGTCCCCCATAATGCAGTAACACAGCTCACATAGATCTTAAAACAGTTTAAGGTTTATATACATACGTGTCACTTTGTCTCGTTGTGGGTTAGCTGTAAAATCAGAAGAAAGAAAAAAAAATTAAAAGAATAGGTACTGGGGAGGGTTTTGTTTTAAGAGTCAAGTCTCTTAATTATAACCATTGACTGTTGCTTTGGCTTTACTGCAGTGATTTTCAAAGGTTAATTATTCAAGATTTTTTTGTGCTTACTGTAATAACTTGATATTTTTAAATCATCTTGTTTATATAAAACTTTTTATATATCACTAGTATAAATGTAAAGCCATTTTACATAAGCAGATAAAATAAATGTAATAAAAAAAATAAAAGTAATAATCAGTGTGAGCAATTTGTTAAAATACTTTCCTGAAAATAAGTTTCTCCCTGAGAAGAAGAGTCCTGTGATCAGTCAGTAGTAAAGAGTGTCCTCTCATCCGCTCTAGTCTGTCATTAACTTATTAATAGCTTATTAATAGGGCATTTGGCTATCAAAAGTCATAACTACTCCTCTCCACTTGACATTCCAAGACCTGGGGAAAAAATTCCACATCTGCCATGGTCTTCTTACACTTTTTATAAATGGTTAAACACCTCTTCTCCGCTGCTTCCAGGCCAGCTGCTGCTGGATTCCTGTGGTGGAGTCCTGATCCTCTGCCTGCTCATGAGCATCTCTGGTCATCATACCTGTGACTGGGCATTGTCTGTGGTGAATTGCCATTGAAGCTTCTGCTGCTTTAACTTTTTTTGGCAGTTACTTCCATGAAATCAAGGTGTGATGTGCTAGTTATATTTTTTCTTATATATATTTTTAAAAATGTTAAACATCCAACTTTTGAGTATTGAAACATCATCCATGCACAGGCAGTAGCTCAAATCAGCTTGTGTACCATTGGTATTCCCAGTGCATTTTGCAAAATCATCCTAATTTGGCCTCCATTGGTATTTAGGGAACTGTTACCTGGAAGACCACAAAAGGATTTTTTTCTTCCAGTGTTTGCTATAATTTGTCAGAGATGGACTCTGATAGATAAAAGCCTTTATCCTCCAGCCCTTACCCCTCTGCAAGTTAGCTTGTGTTTTCCTTTGTCTTTCTTAAGAGTCAGGGGTTTTTCATTATTATTGGACTGTAGTCTTAAATTTCTGAATTTTATCCCTCAAGATTAGAGACCATTTCAAGCTAGATCTCCAAGATCAAAAGCTAAAAGTCCACAAGTTTTCTTCTTCTTGTTCTGGTGCTGTTGTTACTAATTGTCTAGATTTTTAAAATATAATGATTAATAAAATATATGCAGTCAAATTAGTGGTCATTTGTCAGCCAGACTAGGCACTTAAGTTGGGTACAAAGGTGAATTAGATAGGCATGACTTAGTGTCTGTTTGGAATTCAGTCTAGTGGGAAAGACAGTTAACCAGTAGCAACAGTTAAGTTACTCTTAACATAAAATAATTGCCTGTTCTCATCACTGATTCTAAAGAAGCATTGTGAGGATTGTTTGAGCATAAAGACATCACCTAAAACTTTGGGCACAAAGATGCTACCAGGATACCAAAGCAAACAAGATTTGAGATTAGAGGGAGGATGAACTTGGGGATAATAGGTAATATTTATCAAGTGTGTGCCAGGCACTTGTTCCAGATTCTCTAAATGAAACTAATATGAGAGAAAAAATGGTTGAACTGCAGAAAAATGACTGGTTCAGAAAGGTGGTCAAGTGTTGCTATATGGCTGGAGTAAAAATGATAATTCAGTGTATACAAATCAGGAAGAAGGAAACAAATAGTTGAAAAGAATTTTATAGTTTTAGACCTAGGAGGGACTTTGAAAACATGTAAGCAATAGAACACTTTGGCCAAACAAAAATGTATGCTGTTAAACTCAGTCCATTCCAACCTGCTTCGACCACCGCACACCAGTCTTGCATCCCTGAGAGGTTCAGTTGGTTACAGATAAAAGCACAAAAGTACTAGAGGATTTGCACAACTGTAGTAGCTTGATTGAGGTTTCCCTTCACACCGTGGCAAAAAAGTGAAAAAAAAAAAAACAAAAAACCAAAACTAAGAAGGAAAGGAATGTGTCTGGAACAGAAAATGTAAATGGACTCTTGGCCAACTGTGTATTAATAAAGTGATGTAAGGCATCCCTGGAAGGTTGTCTTCATGACCTTCTACACTGTTCCTCATTAAGTGCTGTCTTACTAGTAGAAAGTGCCACACTGCAACTTTTATTTCATTCAGTTCTGTAGATGAACATTTAACTCTTGAATGCTTTGGACAGGTAGAATTCTACCTGAACACAATTCAGAATTCTTTTGGTTAACTTTGTTACATTTTTGATCTGGCTGAAATTAGCAAATCTTGGGTCTATAATTTTCCATAATCAGAGTCATTTGTTGTTCTGATTAGTGTTAACTATAAAGGATATTTGCTTCTTTAAATTTCTCTTGAACATATATTCATTCTTAGGACAGTAGTAAGTCATTGCTTTGATTGCTACCTGATGCCCCCTTCCTGAAAAGAGCTATTAGGATAAAACAAATGTTTTCATTCTTCAGTTCAGTCGCTCAGTTGTGTCTGACTCTTTGTGACCGCATGTGGTTTATGGGATCGCAAGAGTCAGATATGACTGAGTGCTGTCTTCTTTTTGGCTAAATCCTAGGATTGAAGTCCACAAATTCAGATTGATGAGAGAAGTGGAGAGAGGGAAGCAGAAATGGAAGCCTGCTAATATTTGCCAAATTCATTCTAAGTGCCAGTGTTTAGGAAACTTTGTCTTAATCATCTCAGTTAATTCCTGAGACAACTCTGGGAGAAAGTTATTTTTATTTCTGTTTTCAGGTAAGGAAACTACATCTCAAAGATTAAGTTGCTAAAAACCACAATGTACAGATATCAGAGTCAACGAGACCTAGATTTGGTTTTAAAGAAATGTTCCCTCTATCCAATGTCTGGCCTGTGTGATCACTGCCATCCATAAAACTGTCCATCTTAGAAAAGCTCTCAGGACCCACATTTTTGTTCTCAGTCCAGCAAATCTCCATGGTTTTTCTTGGATAGGAGCCATTTGGCTGGGGTAAGGGTCTTCCAAAAGAAAATAACAAGAGCTATGAGGGAGTTCCTAAAGTGCAATTTATTTTTACATAAAAGATGTGACACAGATAACATAATAATTACTGAATACTCATGTACTAGGCACTGTTCCAAGTAGTCTTGAATGAATCAATCTTCACAATAACCTAATGCGGAAGATACTAATTTTTTTAATCCCCATAGCTAGAGGCTTAACACTCTGTTAAGTAACTGACTAGGATCAGCTCAGAAAGTAAAATAATATCCAAACAATTTACATCTCCATAAATAACTTTGGAGTAGTAATGATGAGAGGCTGTACATTTATTTCAATGAACTTGCCATTGCACTAATCTTTTTTTGGAACTCTGCTTTTGGGAAGCAGTTCTTGACTTTTTCATGTCGTGGACCCTTTGGCAGCCTGGTGGAGCCTATAGGTTCTTTCTCAGAACAGTTTTAAAATAGCTAAAATAAAATTCATAGGATTATAAAGTAATGGCTGATTCATGTCAATGTATGGCAAAAACCACTACAATACTGTAAAGTAATTAGCCTCCAACTAATAAAAATAAATGGGAAAAAAAGTAAGCCAATTAAATTGAAATAAATATTAACATGTTAAAAATACTTGTGATGTACAAACATACTTCTCTGTGTATTAGGTCAGAACAGCAAGGAGTCTGGCACCCCAAGTGGTGCTAATGGTAAAGAACCCACCTGCCAGGGCAGGAGACGGAAGAGATGGGAGTTTGATCCCTAGGCTGGGAAGATCCCCTGGAGAAGGAAATGGCAACCCACTCCAGTGTTCTTTCCTGAAGAATCCCATGAACAGAGTAGTCTGGTGGGCTATAACCCATGGGGGTCCCAAGAAATCAGACACAACTGACGCAGCTTAGCACAGCACAGCAGGGAGTCTAATAATTAACAGTAATTTTAGTGATGGATACAAACTATATTTTGAGAGAACTACAACTAGAATGTGATATGAACATATCTGACATTTATAAAGTCACAGGTAGTGCTGTCCAATCATAAGTATTGCTGATATGACTGGAGTGTTAATTCATAAAAAATATTATTTTCTATAGAAGTTAGTGAAAAAGATGTAACCTTTTTCTATTTCAAATTCATGGACTCCTATCCTCTAATGCCATATATTTATTTTCAAAGTTAAGAACTCTCCCCTTAAGAGACATTACTTTTTACTAACACCTCAATTCCAACTAAAAATACATGTTCAAATCCTTTGGCTCCAAATTAATTTAGGTTGTTTCAGAAATTAAATTTAGCTCCATGCTTACTCTACACTGTGGAAAATAGTCTAAGGAATATAGTAGAGGTTCTGATAACAACTATGGAAGATCCAAAATTGACATTAGTCCTTGGGATATCTTTCATTGTTAAAAAGCACAGTACTCTTTGAGTTAAATTCTAGAATGTTTTTAATGAAATCACTTATACCACTTCATACTTTGTTTAATTTTGCATTCTGTACTATTAAGAAGAGGAAAAAATTGCTATTTCAAAAACAAGCTAAAAGTAAGGCAGTTGTGACTTGCAGTGAAATGGCAGAATTCACCTTGGGAAAAAAATGCTCTGCAAAGACCTAGATTTTGTCTAGAAGGCAATGATTAAGACCAAGAGACCTACAGACTCTATGCAATAGAGATAAAAGCAAAAATAAACAAACGAACCTAATCAAACTTACAAGCTTTTGCACAGCAAAGGGAAACTACAAATAAAATGAAAAGACAACCTATGAATTGGGAGAAAATATTTGCAAATGGTGTGACCCACAAGGATTAATTTCTAAAATATACAAATAGCTCATACAGCTCAATAACAAACCAATCAAAAAATGGATAGAAGATCTAAACAGACATTAATCCAAAGACATGCAAATGGCCAACAGGCACATGAAAAGATGCTCAACATCACTAATATTAGAGAGATGTAAATCAGAACTACAGTGAAGTACCACCTCACACTGGTCAGAATGGCCATTGTTAAAATGTCTACAAATAACAAATGCTGGAGCGGGTGTGAAGCAGAGGGAATATATATGGAATATAACTGACCGGAAAAAGAATGAAATAGTGTTATTTGCAGCAACATGGATAGACCTAGTAATTACACTAGGTGAAGTAAGAAAGACAAATACCATATGCTGTCACCTAGATGTGAAATCTAAAATATGACACAAATTATCTGCAAAGGAGAAACAAACATAGCAGACTTGCGGCTGCCTGAGGATAAGGTGGGGGAGGCTAGATTAGGGGTTTGGGATTAGCAAATCAAACTGTTCTATCTGTATAACTGAATTGGGCTTCCCTGGTGGCTCGGTAATAAAGAATCCACCTGCCAATGTGGGAGACGTAGGTTCAATCCCTGGGTCAGGAAGATCCCTGGGAGAAGGAAAAGGCAACCCACTCCAGTATCTTTGCCTGGAAAACCCCATAGACAGAAGAACGTGGCAGGCTGCAGACCATGGGTTTGCAAGAGTCAGACATGACTTTGCGGCTAAACAACTGAATCACTTGCTGTAAATCAACTATATTTCAATAAAGTAAAATTTTACAAAAAGAGACAAGGGAACCTAAGTATTCTGCCCAATAGAGAAGTAGGAAGTGTCAGTGTTTCCTCTGGTTGCCTGAGGGTTGGGACCCTGGGACTCTGGTGAAGAGAAAAGACAGATCTTTATAAAGAAAGCTTAGATATGAATAACAGTACCCAAGGCAGTGATGGCCAAAGTATGCTGGGTCCTGCACCGCTTATGGGAGCGGTTGTCTGCGCTTCGGTGGCATAATCATCTCTTCAGCCGTCTGCGTGGAGGTGGGGCCCACGGTGACGAAGAGGAGTCTGTTCTGGCTGCTGCAGATCGGGGAGACCCGAGGTGACCGGGAGGAGGGGAGTCACCGCGGTCCGAGGCAGCAGAAACAAGCCGAGGGCAGGAGTCCGGAGCTGAGTGCGCAGGACTGGAGAACTAAGTGCCCGGAGCCCTTTCGAGGGAATGTCAGAAACACTGGGAAGGGACTCGACTTTTTAGAATTACGTGGAAGTGGGGAGCCTATAACTTCTTGTGTAGAGAAGGAGAAACAGGCTCAGACGGCACAAGGGCCCTCTTCACTGGTCCCTGGGCTCCCCTCCACGCGCCTTCCAATCCTTTCCCCACAGGCACGCCCAGTGAGCTACAAATTTAAGGCAAGTCTTGTCACCTTCTGCTTAAATGACCTGGATGGCTTCAGCTTGTGATGTGGATAAAGTTAACCTGCAGTGGCCCACGAGGCCCTGGGTGATCTGAGCTTCCTCCTTCTGCCCAGCTTCATCTGATTCACGGTCCAAGCACCCAGGTCTTCTGTCTGTTCTATCATCCTTTCCACAGGAGCTGGTCTTTTGTTTTCACAACTGAATATCTTAACTGTTTCTGAGATTCTTCACATGTCTGGTTCCTTCTCACTCTTCGTGCCTAAGCTTAAATACATCGCAGAAAGCCCTTCCCTGAGCATTTTATCTCAAACAAGGGCCCTGCCTACTCATAGTGTCAATTACAGCATTATTTCTATTTCCAGCATGGCTCATATCATCATGAAGTTATTTTATCTGTATTTTACTGTCTGAATGCCACAGACAATAAACTCCAAAGGGGCAGGACTGTGTCTGGCTTGCTGTCCTATGAAGCTGAGTAAACAAATATTTATTGAATAATTGAATGAATATTTGCTTTTATTTGGATGAATAAATGAATGTTACTCAGTGTTCATAGAAACATTGTGTAATGTGCTGTGGTTAGTTACTCAGTTGTGTCCGACTCTTTGCTACCCCATGGACTGTATCCTACCAGGCTCCTCTGTCCATGGAGATTCTCCAGGAAAGAATACTGGAGTGGGTTGCCATGCCCTCCTCCAGGGGATCGTCCCAACCCAGGGATCGAACCCAGGTCTCCCACACTGCAGGCGGATTCTTCACCATCTTAGCCACCAGGGAAGCCCAAATATAAATTTGCTTAAAAGTTTTACAACTTAGTTTTGTTTAAATCTCTGAAATCAAGAAAAGTGAGTTTAAACCACGAGAACTCCCTTTTGTACCTTATTATTAAGGACGTGCACTCATCTCTCCTTCTGCGAGAACAACAAAATTGCAACTAGCTGAACAACCATTGACAAGAGGACCTGGAACCCACTAAAAAATTTATCCCACACCCAAAGACAAAGAAGCTGCTTCAGCAGGATGATACTAAGGGCGGACTAGAAGGACATGTGCTTCTCTTCTCTTGCGAGAACACCAAAATCACAACTAGTTGCCAAAGAATCATCAACAGGAGAACGTTGGAACCCATCCAAAAATATACACCACATTAAAGGGCAAAGAAAAAGCTGCAACAAGACAGTAGGAGGGGCACAATTACATTTAAAATCAAATCTCATACCCACCAGAGATGCTTGGGTGGGGGGAAACAAACAACCTTGTGTGTACCAGGACCCAGGGAAATGAGCACCAGACCTGCCTGTGAGTGTCTGAGTGTCTCCTGAGGAATCACAGGTCAGCAGTGGCCTGCCATAGGGACAGGGGCTCAGGCAGCAGCAATCCTGAAAAGTGCAATGTGTGGCATAAGTCCTCTTGAAGGAGGTCGACATTCAGTTCAGTCACTCAGTCGTGTCCGACTCTTTGCGACCCCATGAATTGCAGCACGCCAGGCCTCCCTGTCCATCACCAACTCCCGGAGTTTACTCAAACTCACGTCCATCGAGTCGGTGATGCCATCCAACCAATCCTCTGTCTTCCCCTTCTCCTCCAGCCTTCA